AAAAAAAAAAAAAAAAAAAAAAAGAAAAATGAAACGTATTTTTTCAAAGAATAAGAGAAACCTTGGGTTCTTCTAGAATTACCAGCATTATAACAAAAGATCGAATAAAAATATTAAAGGGTCTAGACGAAGTTCAACTATAAAATGTTTCAAATGTATCGTTCACTATTTAACAATTAACAACGTATTTTTTTTTCAAGGTGAGCTATCATGAATATTATCTATAATTAAACTTAATTTATTTCCGTAGAAATTGATCATCTTTGAATAACTAATAAAAATAATATTAAATAAATAAATTTTCAGGATATATAAATATTGTTTTTAAAAATCTACCGAGAAACTCTGTTCTTTCGATTAACTTAATTTCTACTCACCTTTCCTTTTCAATCATCATTCTTCTCAGCTTCTGATTGAAACGTGTTCCTGTTTTACATATTATACACATTTTTCTACATCATTTATATTCTCATTTACAATAGATACAATAATTTATATTCTCTTTGTTAACGATGCTATACTTAATTAATAATGTTTCAATAATTATATTTCCGTTAGTTGTATTTATATTATTTTGTCTCTTATATACGATACTAATGTATACACGTATGCACATATATATAATATATATGTATGTCACTCGCATAATAATTACTTGTATAATAAAATAAAAAAAACACACGCGCAATAAATATACGTGAAATAAATTTGATACTTTTTCACATTTTCTCGGTGTTCGAAAAAAAAAAAATTGTTATAGATCAATACGATTAAAATTAATAATTATGATACTATGATGTAAAATTTTTAGAAAAAATGCATATTTTACTTGACTTTTTAATCGTAATTAAATATTATTCTTATTATAAATAATATCTATTTTAATTTGTGTGTGTGAAAAATTATTTAATTTAAATAATAAATATATTTAAAAATAATAAGTACTCACCGTCGCCTTATTGAATAGTTTTGTTGCTATAATACTGGTACTTTCAAACATATCCTTGCCAGGTCCTGATGCAAAACACATTTCTTTTTTCCCTGGACAAGTGGATTGTTCGGTACAGTTCAATCCAGAAAATTCGCATTTTGGACCACGAGTATTTGGTGAAACGTCGCCTAAGTTCGTCGAAGCGAACGAAGCGACAAATGGACCCTATTTGAGTTAATACAAATAAAATCTATTACAAACGAAAAATATTTATATCCGATACAAAATATAGACATAAGGTCTAATTCAAAATTTCATTATAAATTGATGATTCATAATTAAATGTTGTTATATGTAAAAAAAAAAAATTTATTAGAACAAATTATATATACAC